AAGGCCCTCCCCCTGGGGGTCGCCAGCCGACATTGCTTGGCCGACGGCACCCTGAGGAGGCCCACTCTGTGGGAGCGTACCGGTCTGAGGGAGGGGATCTGCGGCAGAAGGCGGTCTCGGAGATAACCGGGTCCTATGCCATGAAGCGCTTTAAAGGTGGTAACTAACACCTTAAAGCGCACCCGGAAGGCCACTGGCAGCCAATGCAGCTCGCGCAACAGCGGCGTTACATGGGAGCGACTTTTTAAAAAAAGTCAAGGTGGTGGCCGCAACCGAAGCCACCATCTTGATTTTATTGGTCCTTCCTCCCTACGGACACTGTTGGTTGTGTTATCGCTTGACCCCAGCCAACGTATCGGAAGAGCGTTGTCCAGGACTCATAATCTCACAATGGTTACTGGCTACTTGATAGATTAAGTGATGTGTTCAGCTTCACTTAAAACTAGTCAAGAAACCAAGAGTAGCTGATTTACCTCCTTATGCACTGAATGTGTAGCCGGCTTCTCAGTCTCTAACAATTCCTTTGGCTGCCCAAACAAGCTGCTTTAAAGCCAACACTCTCCAGGAGATTAAAGGAACTTTGTCATAGTTACGGAGCAAGCTACATGTTGACATTCTGGGTATGGCTGACAATTCTGCAAATCACGTTGACGCTCAGCTGACATTATAAACCACCTTTGCCTGAAAAACCTTTAGCTTGGTAGATTCTGCCAGAGGAAGTGACTTGCGATAGACACAAATATGAACAATGGGAGGTCGAGTTAGCAAATCCCAGGTGGTTAATCAGGGCCAGGAATACCCCACACCCTAACAGTGGGAAACATTTTTGTTCGAGAGACACCCAGGTCTCCAGCATTTTTTTTTTGAACAAGCTTGTTTTCAGTGGCTCTGGAGAACAGAATCAAAGGGCATTTTAATGCTCCTTACTACGTATGTATCTAGGGAGCTTGAATGCTTCTGTAAGAGAAATGTGGGGTGTATTTTATTTTAATATATTTTATTCTGTGTACCTATATATTTATCTTAATATACAGCTAGTCCTTGACTTAGGATCACGATTGAGCCCATTTCTGTTGCTAAATGAGACATTTGTTAAGTGAGTTTTGCCCCATTTTATGACTTCTTGCTACAGCTTTTAAGTGAATCACTGCAATTGTTAAGGTAGTAACAAGGTTGTTAAGTGGAACCGGCTTCCTCATTAACTTTGCTTGTCAGAAGGTCACATGACCTCAGGACAGTTCAACTGTCATAAATACAAGTCACTTTGCCAAGCATCCGACTTTTGATCCCATGACCATGGCAGTGGTTGTTAAGTGTGAAAAATGGCCATAAGTTGGTTTTTTTCAGTGCTGTTGAAACTTCGAACGCTCATTAAACGAACTGTTGTAAGTCAAGGACTTGCCTGTGTTATTTTTAAAAAGTGGGGTCTGTTTTAATCGATTTTAACGAGTTTGAACAGAAGAGTCAAACCAGCTATCATTTTAACGTTTTACGTTGTTTGTGGGATGGAAAACACAGTCACAACTGAAAACTACCCAGAATCACAGATGTGAGGTGGGTGGCTATATAAGTTGAATACATTGATAAATAAACAAATACAAACATAATTTTAGATTTAAAGGCTGGCTAAATTTGGCTTGGTCACTGCTGGAAATACCTTTCAATCCACTAATCTCAGCATTGTGAAATCACAGATTTGTATTTTATTTTTTTTACCTAAAAAGGTCTTCTTCTTTTTTTAAGGAAAGTTGAAATTTTTCTCTTGGCATCCATCCATACCTATGAGCATAGTGCTGCCTGAATAATCCCACCCCAGGACCGCTCCTAATTCCACATGCATTAACCATCCCTTCCTTTGGCCTTTTCCTAAATCTTGTTCAGATGCTCGGGATATTTTCATCTTCGCTAAGCAACGAGGAAACAAAACAATGGTGGGCAGAAATACTATCTTTAGCAGCAAAGGGACATTAGGGCAGAGAGTAATTGGAGCTTAGCCTCGTGGGATCTGCTTGCATGGGCCAAGTGGTTAAAATTTCCCCTGAATGGAGAGAGAACTCCACAGGGGGGTCAAGATGTTTTCCAGGTTAAACCTCTGGGAAGTGTCATGCAACACATCTGGAAGACATTAGGTGGTGTGCTCTTGTTTTGTAGTGTCCATGGTAGACATCACCATCACTGCAGGGATCAAAGTNGGAGGGCTAAGGCACTCTTTTCTTGGGCATTTTCCCGATCCTTGTCTTTCTTTTCTTTCTTTTTCTGCTGGTGAGAATAGGAGAAGAAAGAGTCATAAAGCAGAACCCACTTTGACGATGGAGAAGCAGTTCTCCAGAGCTGTGGGCCGAATCGGGTCACACTAACATCATCTTCAAAGCAGGAGGTTGTTGAAGCCAGTGCTTCTCAATCTTGGCAGTGTATGAACTTCAACTCCCAGAATTCCCCAGTCCTTTAAGATGGGTGGAAGTCCCCAAATTGCCAGTGTACTGTACCTGTCTGTATAGTCAGTTGCTTAGCAACCGAAAGCTATTTGGTTTTCATCCCTCTCTCCTGGCAACAGCAGAAGCATGTCTGAACATACAAAGCTGGGATGTACGTAGCATTTGGCTATTGGGTGTCTCTCTCCCACCCCCATACTTCAGGTTTGAAATTCAGGTGTCCCTTTCTATCAAAGAGGCCAGGACTCGGGATTAATTTAGGAAGTAGACTATGATTAGTCTGAGAGCCCTGGGAATGAAGAGAATCCTGGAAAAGAGCCACTGAGAAGACCATTTTCATTTTCCATTGGATGAAACGTCTGCAGTTTCCTCAAATTGCTGACCCCCTCAAGGTTGCTACAGTTCTCCTCATCCCAATAGGCAGGTTAAAAATGAGATGTCCCCCATGGCTGGAGTAGGAACGGGACATCAGGTTGGGGAAAGCTGCAGCACTCAAGATCAGGGGGGTCTTCAAACTTGGCCCTTTGATGACTTGTGGACTTCAACTCCCAGAATTCCTCAGCCAGCCCTCAGTTGAAGTCTACAAGTCATCAAAGGGCCAAGTTTGAAGACCCCTGCTCAAGACCATCCCAACTGCTAGTCTCTGTTACTCCTAACAGGAGAGAGGAAACGTTGATGGGAATATAGATGTGAGCCTAAAGCAGCGTTTCTCAAACTTGGCAACGTTAAGAATTCTGGGAGTTGAAGTCCACAAGTCATCAAAGGGCCAACTTTGAAGACCCCTGCTCAAGACCATAAGGAGAACCAGCCCAACTGCTAGTCTCTATTACTTCTAACAGGAGAGAGGAAACTTTGATGGGAATATACATGTGAACCTAAAGTAGCGTTTCTCAAACTTGGCAACTTTTAAGAATTCTGGGAGTGGCATCCTAGGAGATTTGAGAAACACAGATCTAAAGAGTGGGGATGGTTAAAAAAAAATCATAGCAACTTACAGGAGAGGACTGTGGCTTATTCCGGGGCGTTACATCAGGGCTGCTGGTTGCCGGACGCCGTCGCTCTGCGCAACGGTGCACACGCTGGTTTTTGCAGGGGCTTACAGGGCTGGCAGAAGCCGAGCGGGGGCACACGGGTACTGTTGGCAGTCAATGAAAAGAGAAGGTCTGAATCTTTTCTAGGGTTGTTTCACAATACAGGTAATCCTCCATTTACAACTTTGAGCAACCGTTCCAAGTGACGACGTCACTGAATAAAGTGACTTGCGGCTGTTTTTCACACTCACGGCTGTTGCAGCATCCCCGTGGTCACATGATCAAAATTCAGATGCTCGGCAACTGGCATGTGTTTATGACAGTTGCAGTGTCCCCAGGGTCATGTGATCAGGTTTGACATTTATCAATAAAATTTTAGCTTATACATATCTTAATATTCAGCCTTCATAAACAATCCACATGGTATTAATTTTTACCCAATTTTTAGTTTCTCATCAATATTCCAGTTTAACCTTTGATATTTATAATTTTCAAGCCTTAGGTAAACCAAGATTTCCCTTATCTCAATTCATAACAAAATCTAATATCCAAAATACACATTTTAGTCCTTATTTTCAACTAATTTCCAAGTATTTTAAATGGTAAGTCAAGGACTACCTGTATTCAGTCTGGGAATAAAACTGGAATTCTGATTCTACAGTACTTAAAAGGTAGCCTACCATAATAATGTAGCACTTTCTACTTCTATTGGAACTGTAGCACCCAGAATTCCTCCCCCCAGCACGGGCGCTAGTCACTGGGAATTGCAGTCCCAGCACTCTGAAAGCCAGCAAAGTTTATAGAGTGGCTATATCAGTGGTGGCGAACCTATGGCACGGGTGCCAGAGGTGGCACTCAGAGCCCTCTCTGTGGACACACACACCGTCGCTCCAGCCCCACCTCCTCCCACAGCCCCCTCCTCACCAGCAGCCCCCCCTGGAGGAGAGTTGCCCCCGGGCACAGCCCATATGAAGCAGCGTAGCCAAGGACATGGTAGCCAGGCAGTGGGGACAAGACTCCGCCCTTGCACCCCATTGCACACAGATGATGCTACGGGGCATGGGTGGAGGGCGTGGCCACCATGGCGCTGCTGGGCTGCCTGGGTGATCTGTGGCGGGCCGTGGAGATGGTGGGTGGTCCAGCGGGCAGGGCGGAACGGGGACGGGGGTGGGGAGGCGGTTTTGGGGCACTCGGTCTCTAAAAGGTTCGCCATCACTGGGCTACATCATTCCTGCCATATGCTAAGTTGGGCTCTTCAAAGCCAGCCTTTTCAACCTGTTGTCTTCCTACTAGGTGTCAACCCTACTCATCCTTCCCAGACAGTTGTTGTCTGTCCTTGATGGGATGAAGGACGCTGGAGTTGATCACACTTGAAGGACAGGCCATCGGTAAAGCAACAGCAATGCAGGTAATCCTCAACTCACAACCATTTATTTAGTGACCGTTTGAAGTTACAACGGCACTGGGAAAAGCGATTTATGACCGTTTTCACCCTTACAACTGTTGCAGCATCCCCATGGTCATGTGATCAAAATTTGGGATGCTTGGCGACCTTCTGACAAGCAAAATCAATGGGGTAAGCTGGATTTGCTTAATAACTGTAGTGACTTGTTTAATGACCATGGCAAAGAAGATTGCAGAACTGACCACAATTCAAGCAACTGCACTGCTTATCAGCCGAAGTTCCAGTCTCAATTGTGGTTGCAAGTCAACAACTGCCTGTGTTCAAATCATGCCCATTCTTTCATGTTACTGAACGTATCCACAAAACAAGCTTCACCATGCTGGGAAAGCAATCCAATTTCTCATTTTTGTCCACCTAACCCAAAGGCCTGCATTCACACAAGAGCCTGAACCAGAAGACTAAGCCAAGATGAAATCTAATCAAGTTTTTGCAAACAGGATGAATGCAAGACCTAGGCTTGTTGTTAACTTGAGATAAGCTATCGAACTAAAGATAACCCTCCCAAAATTCTCAATTTATTGTTAAAATAGACTCTTCCTAAAATCGTGAGCAAAATTTCAGAGTGTGGAATTTAGGGAAGCACAGGACACAAGGGCTAGCCTCGTGGCTTTGTGTTAGCCATGGCTTACTCAATCAGCCAAACATGGCATGCTAAGCCATAAACCCTGGTTCACAAATGTAACGGCCGACTTCACGGAACACAAGCTAAAACTAATAAATCAACCCCAGGATGCAACGGCAGTGTTTGCCTGATGCAATTGCAAACCTGTCATTATTTTGGCCTCATCGTGGCTTGCTTGGGATGCTGGTGAACCCACCACGCCCTCCTCTCGATAACATTTTAGCCCCTTCAGGTCATTCTGCTTACCCTGCTCCTTGCCATTGCCGGCCAGCGTCACAGCGCTTCTGCTGCGGGCCAAGAAGGCGAGAGTCGGGGTCATCAGCCGGTCCACGATGCTGCTCTCCCAAGCACTAAGTTGAAGACTACGATCTGGGGAAGGAACAACCAAAGCTTTTGGTTAATCTGGTAGGCTCAGTTCCATCCTGGACCAACCTTCCAGCACCTGAAGTTGCAACGTTGGATTTCTGGTCTGCAGAGTGTGTGCAACGAGACTAACTTTCCAAGCCCCATTTTCCTCAAAATTGGTAGCTATTACTATCTCTATGTCAACGCTGCAAATACTGTATATTCTTGCTTTGACAATATGCAGAACTGTCTGGTATTTTTATAGTTAAATCAGGCAACAGGGAAAGGGGAGAATATAAGGAAAGCCCGGGAAAAAGGAACCGGAAGTGAATCACATCTTCCAAGTTAATTGGAAGATGTGTATCATGACCCCAAAATAGGGGAGGGAAAAATGCCTGGAGTGTTATGTGCAACGGAAGAGAAAATCAGATCTTAGCATTCCACCATGCCGTTCTGACATCTCTGTAACCTTAATAAAGGCTTTTAGGAGGAAAAAGAAATGCCTGAAAGTTCTTTTAAGTGTTTCGTTAATCAGACACATGACACACTACAGTTGTGCTTCGAGCACCAAAGCACTTCCAGGTTGAAAGGATTAGCTGGTGACATCACCACTGCCCGGAAGATGCCCAGTTAGGGGCTTTTTTCATGTTCTCAAAGTGGTACCCGTCTACCTACTCGCAGTTGCTCACTTTCAAACTGCTGGGTCAACAGGAGCTGGAGCAAGTGATGGGAGCTCACCCGTCACGCAGCACCAACCGGGTCTCAAACACTGCCAATCGTCAGACCAGCATCCTAAACACATGAGCCACCATGCTCCCCAACTTGTAGCTCAGGTGCCACAATGAGATTCCAGTTAGTCGAACCAGGTGTGGAAGGTAGGACTACGCAAAGGAACCAGGTTTAAGGAGGTAGAAGAGAAAAGTCGTTGCGCCCGTTGGGACAGGAAATATTGATTATAGGTAGTCCTCAACTTACAACCACAACCGAGCCCCAAGTTTTCATCGCTAAGCAAGACAGTAGTTAAGTGAGTTTTGCCCCAGTTGTTACGTCAATCGCTGCAGTTGTTAAGTCAGTCATTCAATCATGAAGCAAATCTGGCTTCACCCATTGATTTTGCTTGTCAAAAGCTGGCTGGGAAGGTTACAGATGATGATCACTTGACCCCGGGACAGTGCAACCATCATAAATACATGCCAGTTGCCATGGGCCCGAATTCTGATCATGGGACCCATGGGGATGCTGCAAGGGTCATGAGTGTGAAAACCAATCATAAGTATTCCATTCTAACTAATGGACTTGTTAGTCTTACGTCTTCCCTTTCCTCCTGCAGCTGAAGTCAACCTACTAATCCTCTCTATGGCCCATGCTGGCTGGGGGATTCTGGGAGTTGAGGTCCACCCATCTTAAAAGTTGGTGAATTGAGAAACACTGCCCTAAAGCAGATATCAGACAATCAAGTTTTACAGACACAAATCTGTTAAAAGATTTGTCGGGGTGAGGTGGGGGTGGAGATATTAGGTTCAGATCATCATTAATCCTGGAACTCAATGGCTAAAGCTACCCAGCCTGTACTGGCCAATGGGTGGTTTTTGAGAGCTCAGCTCTCAGCATTTTGTCTGCACAAGACCATCGACAATACGGATGTTGGAGAACCCAGTCCTCATGTTTTGTTCAACTAGCTTTGGTGCGTGTCGTGGCTGACTCGCCACGCACCTCTGCTCACAAACAGACAACAGAAACAGAGAAACAGGGAGGGGGAACGGAAAGTATTGGAACGTAAAGGAGGTTTGGGAGAGAATTGAGGGTTTCAAGTGGCCCAGGACAGTCCCAACACCCCAAATCAAACGTTGAGAAAACTCCAAGCTGCTCACGAAGGCAGTTGATTGGTGGACAATGAACAGTGGGGAAATCCAGGGGAAAGGGGGAACTTTACCTATGCTGGTTTTCGCACGAAAACTTTAGAACTGGCGGTGCCTATGTGGAATTATCAGCAAAGTTATACTCTTGCTAAAATAATGTCCCTGAAGTTTCTTTTGCTGCATTTACCAAGGGGACGGTTGACAGTGCAGAGGCGGCTCTGGAGGGAGAGACTTTTAAAAAAAGTCAAGATGGTGGCCGCAACCGAAGCCACCATCTTGATTTTATTGGTCCTTCCTCCCTATGGACACTGTTGGTTGTGTTATTGCTTGACCCCAGCCAACGTATCGGAAGAGCGTTGTCCAGGACTCATAATCTCACAATGGTTACTGGCTACTTGATAGATTAAGTGATGTATTCAGCTTCACTTAAAACTAGTCAAGAAACCAAGAGTAGCTGATTTACCTCCTTATGCACTGAATGTGTAGCCGGCTTCTCAGTCTCTAATAATTCCTTTGGCTGCCCAAACAAGCTGCTTTAAAGCCAACACCCTCCAGGAGATTAAAGGAACTTTGTCATAGTTACGTAGCTTAGTTACGGAGCAAGCTACATGTTGACATTCTGGGTATGGCTGACAATTCTGCAAATCACGTTGACGCTCAGCTGACATTATAAACCACCTTTGCCTGAAAAACCTTTAGCTTGGTAGATTCTGCCAGAGGAAGTGACTTGCGATAGACACAAATATGAACAATGGGAAGTCGAGTTAGCAAATCCCAGGTGGTTAATCAGGGCCAGGAATACCCCACACCCTAACAGCGGGAAACATTTTTGTTCAAGAGACACCCAGGTCTCCAGCATTTTTTTTTTGAACAAGCTTGTTTTCAGTGGCTCTGGAGAATAGAATCAAAGGGCATTTTAATGCTCCTTACTACGTATGTATCTGTAAGAGAAATGTGGGGTGTATTTTATTTTAATATATTTTATTCTGTCTACCTATATATTTATCTTAATATACAGCTAGTCCTTGACTTAGGATCACGATTGAGCCCAACATTTCTGTTGCTAAATGAGACATTTGATAAGTGAGTTTTGCCCCATTTTATGACTTCTTGCTACAGCTTTTAAGTGAATCACTGCAATTGTTAAGGTAGTAACAAGGTTGTTAAGTGGGACCGGCTTCCTCATTAACTTTGCTTGTCAGAAGGTCACATGACCTCAGGACATTTCAACCGTCATAAATACGAGTCACTTTGCCAAGCGTCCGACTTTTGATCCCATGACCATGGCAGTGGTTGTTAAGTGTGAAAAATGGCCATAAGTTGTTTTTTTTCAGTGCTGTTGAAACTTCGAACGCTCAGTAAACGAACTGTTGTAAGTCAAGGACTTGCCTGTATTTTATTTTAAAAAAGTGGGGTCTGTTTTAATTGATTTTAACGAGTTTGAACAGAAGAGTCAAACCAGCTATCATTTTAACGTTTTTCGTTGTTTGTGGGATGGAAAACACAGTCACAACTGAAAACTCACCCAGAATCACAGATGTGAGGTGGGTGGCTATATAAGTTGAATAAATTGATAAATAAACAAATACAAACATAATTTTAGATTTAAAGGCTGGCTAAATTTGGCTTGGTCACTGCTGGAAATACCTTTCAATCCACTAATCTCAGCATTCTGAAATCACAGATTTGTATTTTATTTTTTTTACCTAAAAAGGTCTTCTTCTTTTTTTAAGGAAAGTTGAAATTTTTCTCTTGGCATCCATCCATACCTATGAGCATAGTGCTGCCTGAATAATCCCACCCCAGGACCGCTCCTAATTCCACATGCATTAACCATCCCTTCCTTTGGCCTTTTCCTAAATCTTGTTCAGATGCTCGGGATATTTTCATCTTCGCTAAGCAACGAGGAAACAAAACAATGGTGGGCAGAAATACTATCTTTAGCAGCAAAGGGACATTAGGGCAGAGAGTAATTGGAGCTCAGCCTCGTGGGATCTGCTTGCATGGGCCAAGTGGTTAAAATTTCCCCTGAATGGAGAGAGAACTCCACAGGGGGGTCAAGATGTTTTCCAGGTTAAACCTCTGGGAAGTGTCATGCAACACATCTGGAAGACATTAGGTGGTGTGCTCTTGTTTTGTAGTGTCCATGGTAGACATCACCATCACTGCAGGGATCAAAGTAAACCTGGCTTATTAATATCCCACCCAATTTATAGTTTAGATCTTGGGGAAGTTCCATCTTACTATTTCACAGCGCCTTTAGCGTTTCGGCTGAGACCCATTGCAAAGAGCTGCTCCAGAAACATACAACTAGGAGGAGAAAAGTCATTGCAAAAGGCCCTATAGTTTGGCACCAACTAGGCCACTTTGGTCTAGTAGTTAAGGCAGCAGAGTAGACGTCAGGAGGCTGCGTGTTCTAGTAGGGCCTTAGGTATGAAAGTCAGATGAGTGACTTTGGGTCAGTCACTATTTCTCAGACCAACACACCTCACAGGGTGTTCGTTAGTTATAAAAATAATAAAGGCAGGATATGGGTTGTGGTGGCGCAGTGGTTAGAATGCAGTATTGCAGGCTAACTCTGCTCACTGCCAGGAGTTCGATCTTGATGTGGGGGCTCAAGGCTGACTCAGCTTTCCATCCTTCCAAGATCAGTCAATTGGATCAGACTCAGATTATTGGGGGCACTATGCTGAAATTATAAATTGTCCAGAGAGGGCTGTAAAACACTATGAAGAAGCATATAAGTCTAAATGACGTATGAATTAACAAGCAAACAAACAAATAAACAAATAATGGTTCAGATACTGAACAGGGATTCACATTTCTGCCAGCTTAACCCCCCCCCCATGTGACCCAACGGACAGAGTGAGGGAGAAATAATATCTGCTCGTTGAAAAGGATCACTGGGATCTCTGATAGAAAAGCATTTTGAGCATTTGAGAATTGCAGTACGGGCGAAGAGGTTGAAACTACGAAACTGCTGTCCCCCAAACTAATAAGGATGTCGGCCATTTTAGCTTTTTGAGGTACTTCTATAACTGCCTGGTTTGGCCCAGCAACCAAGCAGGACAGGTACAGACTTCAACGGATAGTTAGGACAGAGGAAAAAGCAGTTGCAACCAGCCTGCCTTCCATCATTGAGGACCTGTAATAGGGCATGAACCAGAAAGAGGGCTGAGAAAATATATATAGACCCTTCACATCCTTGGCATGTTTCAACTCCTTCCCTCAGGACGCCGCTATAGGGCATTGTACGCCAAAACGAACCAGACACAGAGACAGTCATCTGTTTGCATGTTGAGCTTTGCATTCAGTTCTTTTTGTTTGTTAAAAAACAAACTTTGAAGAGCTGGCATAGAAAAAAAAAAGCAGGCCACAAATAAATTGCAACGAACACATCAACAAACGGACCTGGGATGGCTCTATGACAATTCGCAACAGCCCACTCGCTGCTGAGACAACTTGCCATGGAACAACTCACTGTGGGACAAGAGTTACACTAATATCAAAGAAATGATGGAATAGAATCAGGAAAGAAAGGATGCAAAAGGGGGGACAGAATGGAGTGTGAATGACAAAAATTAAAATATATTTTTTTCATTTATTTTGAATAGTTACATTGAATTGTTAAATTGTCCTGTGGTGAGTTGGCCGGGGCGAACTGTCCCATTCCGACCTGGGACAGAGGACTGAGAGACCCAAAAAAAAAAAGAAAAAAAAAAAGCACAACAAACACACTCGCTTTAAGAGAAAGATCTGAGTTACGCCCACGGTTGTCAAATTGGAAACTAACCAAGGAGAGAAGCAACCTAGAACGAAAGAGAAACTTCCTGACAGTTAGAACAACTAACCAGTGGAACAACCTGCCTCCAGAAGCGGTGAATGCTCCAACACTGGAAGTTTTTTTAAAAAGAGACCGGACAGCCATTTGTCTGAAATGGTATAGGGTTTCCTGCCTGAGCAGGGGGTTGGACTAGATGACCTCCAAGGTCCCTGGGCGGTGCAAGGATGTTCTGCCCCCAATCTCTTAACTTTCTACTGAGCCCCATCTTCCGTCTGCTAAAATTTCATCCTAAATTGTAGGATTTCTCAACCCTGGAAACTTTTAAGATGTGTAGACTTCAATTCTCCAGATCTCTCTGCCAGCAACTCGTGTAGTTGAAATCCACACATCTTAAAATTGCTAAGGTTAAGAAACATTGCTCTATTGGCTGGGTTCATGCTTCTTTTGGTAACCATAAGACCTAGGCCAGGGGTGTCAAACTGCCGGCCCGTGGGCCGGACGTGTCACGCGGAAGCCGCGCCCATCCCATTGCCGGCAATGGCAAAACAGTCCCGATACGTTGCGCGACGTCACAAGTTTGACATGTCTGACCTAGGCCCTTGAATCTTTTAAAAATGCTGAACGCTGCATCCTGCATTAACGTGTTTGTCTAAAACAGTGTTTCTCAATCTCAGCAATTTGAGGTGATGGCTTCAATTCCCAGAATTCTCCAGGCACTATGGCTTGCTAGGGAATTCTGGGAGCTGAAGGCCACACATCTTCACGACCCAGAGATTGAAAAACATTGGTCTAAAACAGTGGTGGCGAACTTATGGCACGGGTGCCAGAGGCGGCACTCAAAGCTCTCTCTGTGGGCACCTGCGCTGTCACCCCAGTCCTAGGCCTTCAGCTGGGTTTTATAAAACCTTTTCGCTTTAGGCCTCCATCGTCGTGTGCAAAAAAAAAAAGGTTCAATCAATCAGTCAATTTCAACTTCTCGCAGGAAAAAAAAAATCTTGCAAAGTTGGAATTGATTGATTGAACTTTTTAGTCCCACCCAGTCTGCCGTTACCACTGCAGCCACGCTCACCCAATTGGCCACACCCAGCCAATGGGCCACACCCACCCGGCACTCGACGATGCATAAGTGGGTTTTGGGCTGTAGTTTGGGCACTCGGTCTCTAAAAGGTTCGCCATCACTAGTCTAAAACATATACTAAAAGGCCTCTCTTTCTCTTCCTTCCTTCCTTCCTTCCTTCCTTCCTTCCTTCCTTCCTTCCTTCTTTCCTCCCTCTTATCAGTTTACCCCTGTCACCTAGTTCCAGGGCTATTGATAGGATGGGTTTAAAATTGGGCCCCGCTTCTTCCCATCCCTCGCCATGACACAGCTGCGTGTCCCCAGGGGGGTCTCTTACTTCTACTGGGTGAGTTCCAGAGAGTGGCAGAAGATTTGGAGAGGCGCTTGTTGATTATAGAGTCCACATGTTTGGGGAGATTTACAGCAGAGAGTGAGCACCTGCTTGCACCTACAGAGGGAAAAGACACACAGGTGTTAAGGGCAGCGGGGTGGGGTGGGAGGATCTGGTGGGCGTGCGAGCATGCAGCAGCGGGGATCATGCAGTGAATGCCATGAGTTGCAAAGGAGACCCCTGGGAAAAGCTATTAAGGTGCCTCGTTTCGGAGCTGCCTGCAGGAACAGGAAACCATACAAACACCTTTTAATGTGCTGATTGGCAGCCTTGTGTATTCTACTCCAGCGCAGGCTCCCGCTGATGTCAGAGGCCTAAGTGAGCTTGGCAAAAGGCAAATTAGCACACGTGGTGGCACAGTGGCTGTCGGCAGGGCTATGCCCTTCCCAGAGGCCCACTGGCCGAAGGTCTGATTTGGAGATTTTTCCCTTCTGCAGCCAAACAACAGCAGGAGGTGACTATATCATCCACAGCTCCTTCTGGTTACAAGCTGACTTGCACCCGGGTCCCACCCAGCTGAGAGAAGCTGAGAGTCCCACAAAAAGCATGCAATATAGATGACAGCCTTCATAGAAGATGTTAAATATCCGGTTCTTGGGCACACTTACAACATGTTTACACTGCCAAAAGCTGAGCAAGACATAGAAGGAACCATCCAGCAAACAGATCCCCTTTTAGAGACACAAAGGGCCTGGGTTGACAGCAAAGCAGCTTTGTTAGACCAACGTGAGGGCGGGGTGAGTTTCCACAGGACAAAACTGAAAGCATTTTGAGTCTTTATTTATAGGACATAATCAGGATTTGAAACAAACCCTGGCTTTTTATTCCAGGGCCACAACAAAGAAGTGGGGCGGTAGTCTATCCTCAGCACGATCTCTGCAAGCCAACGTTTTGGAAAAATGACCAAGTAGGTGATTTTTTGATTCTTTTTTTTTAGCATTCTTAAAATTTCCAAAGTAAACAGTTGTTGTGCTTCGCTAACACACCTAACGTGATGGTTCCAGACTTAACTAGATCAGTCATTCGCACAACGTGAAAGGCTTAGCTAGTTTTAAGCTCGTTAGGGCTTTTTTGTGACTTTATGTGTTCTGTGATTCCAGCTCATTTCTGATTCAAAGTATTAAAACAATCCAGGAGATATGATGGCTCCGTCACCTGGTTAAGTGTGTTTTGTGAACAAGGCCAAACAAAACATGCCTTTGAACTTGCTTTTTCTTGTTTCATATGGCAATGCAAACATACAATAATGAATTGGACAATTTTTCTGCACATTGGGTCACTGGTAGCATTCTGTACGGGTCTCTATCTGTATTCTAGGATGAAAAACAAGGGCTGATGTGGAATTCTTGTGGCCCAAAAACCACAGTTTTGTCTAAATCCAAAGCAAAATTCCTACACCCAAAACTAATTCAGAGTAATAGCTGCCAATACTGATGGAAGATTTGTAATAGAATCACAGGATTTGTCTCTGCAAAAAAACAGACTAATTGCAGATATTTATTTGAAGGTCATACATCCTACTTCTATTTTGCAATAAATAAAATCCAGCAGAGAATTCAGCAGAGACAAAATGTTGTTCGACATTATTTACTTATTAACGAACCACTCGCTCTGAAGAGTGACTCGAAAGAGCCTTACGGCTAGTCCTCATTTCGCAACTGCCTTGTTTAACAACCGTTTGCAATTACAACAAGATGAAAAAATAACTTAGCGACTTAAGCTTCGCACTTATGACCTCTGCGGGCCTGCGAAGCAAAGAAAACAACTTTGTAAGGAGTTAAGATTGTAAAACCGTGTCATTCCACTTAACAACTGCTTTGCTTAACAACCTAGTTATCTACCCTGTTTGCGGTTGCTAAACGAAGATGAGATCAAAAACCCACCGGATTCGCCACTCGCTTCCCAACAAGATTCCAACTACCCATACATTGGCCAACAGATCTTCCTCAAAAAGCTTTTGAAAGTATATCTGAAGTGCTGTGAACATCTGAAATGTTTGTTTGTATCATGATCAGCAGCAATTTCCAATCAGTTCAGACATTTAAAGTTAAAGAGGAGCATCTCAGAATTGTAAATAATAATAGCCTGGTTGCTTATGGAGAATTATTAATCGCCACAGGTGACCAGGAAGTTGCCACCAAATCAGTTATGCTTGCTGTTCTGTTACAGGTAGTCCTTGAGTTATGACTGTAATAAAGCTTGCTCATAAAATACAAGCATTTTTTGGGGGGGTGGCTGCCGCAGTTATTCAGTAAATCAATGATTCACTATAGCAGGGGTCCCCAACCCTTGGGCTGTGACCCACTAACGGGCCTTGGCTTTTTCAAAACCGGGCCGTAGGAGAGATGGGCAAGCACGCGTGTGTGAAGATAGACAGTCAGATAACCTTTATTGTCATTTTTTTAATGTGGGCCCAACGGCACCCATTAAAAATGAAATATAGTTGCTTGCTCTCAAGGTGTACACATACATAACGCACATTTAAACATACTATATACAACGTATGTATAGACCTACACCCTTGATTATAAGTAACACATATATATTAATCACTGTTCGTCTTGAATACATAACGGAAGGAGGAAGCTTGAGAGTTCACAAGGTTAATGCTGTATGGAACAAAACTATGGCTGAATCTGGATGTTCTGCTTCGGATACCACGGAGCCCCCTCCTCCCGGAAGGTAACAAGGAAAACGGGTCTAGCGGCGGGCATGAGCGGAGGGTGCTTGTGTTCGCATGAGCGGAACTTTGCACACAAGTGCAAGGGCTCTCCGCTTGCATGAGTGGAACTTTGCACACGAGCATAAGCACCCTCTACTCAAGTGTGAAGCTCCAATTGTGCGAGTGGAGGGCACATGTGCTTGCCACGCACACAAATGGAGCTGTGCGTACGAACGTGTGCCTGCCATTCTCTCCCTCTCTCTCACACACACACACACACACCACATCGGATCACCAACCTGGAAAGGTTGGGGACTGCTGCACTATAGGCATTGTTTTGCTGAAAACTAGAAGTGCTGGTTTTCAGAAAAAACTGTCATAAAATGGAGTCACGTGTTTGTGGGGTTTTTGTAAATGACCGTAAATGTAGCCATGTGGCCAAGCACCCGAAGTGTGGTCACATGATCATGGGGTGGGTCAGAAGGTTGGATCCAGGTTGTAAATCCCCTTTTCCAGATTGGTCAAAAGTCAAGGACTACTTGTACTTGTCTTTTTGAAGCCCTTCCAGAGCATTTCTGTGTTGTCATCCTGCATCCTGCATTACACATTTCTCTCTCCAATCACTGGAGTTTATGATCATATAACCCTCTCCGCTGCTAGGGCAGCATGCTGCCTTGGGGAATTCTGGGAGTTGAAGTCCACATGTCTTAAAGTGCTGCAGGATCACCCCCCCCAAAACGCTTCCTAACCCCACCAAAACAGGAAATCCTGGCCCCGTTCACACACATGGCTATGTCCACTTGGCATCATGCATGTCTGCAGCATTTGTACATGGCCAAAGTGTGGAGTGTGGCACCTGCCATTCTCACCCTTCAGTTTCCCACCCTCCAGTCCATTCCTGCCCAAAGACTCTTGGGCAGGGGACAATTTCCAGGTACAGAACATGCTCAGGTCTTGGGTAAGCTGCATCTATGGCTCAGCTCCTTTCTGCCTGGGTCCCAATGTGCCCGCAGGGTGGAAACTGCCAACCAATGAGGAGAAAGATGGGTGAAGCCCTGAGCAGCACAAGGCATAGAAGAGAAGAAGCAGTGTGGGAACTTAAAGGTACCGAGTGGTCAAAAGTCCACCGAAAACGGACAAAGGACCCCAGTGAAGCTGCAAGGAAATGGCGTGCTGTACTATATGCAGAGGAAAGAAAGAAAGGAAGGAAGGAAGGAAGGAAGGAAGGAAGGAAGGAAGGAAGGAAGGAAAGAAAAAGACAGAAAGACAAAGACAAAGACAAAAAAAGAAAGGAAAGAAAGAAAAGAAAGAAAGAAAGAAAGAAAGAAAGAAAGAAAGAAAGAAAGAAAGAAAGAAAAAGACAAAGACAAAAAAGAAAGGAAAGAAAGAAAGAGAAAGAAAGAAAGAAATAGAAAGAAAATAGGTAGAGGGAGGAAGGAAGGAAAGAAGGAAGGAAGGAAAGAAAGAAAAAAAGAAAGAAGGAAAGAAAGAAAGAAAGAAAGAAAAGACAGAAAGACAAAGACAAAAAAAGAAAGAAAAGAAAGAAAGAAAGAAAGAAAATAGGTAGAGGGAGGAAGGAAGGAAAGAAGGAAGGAAGGAACTGCCTTATAATTTCAAGCTATAAACTAGGGTGCATAAGCCCCTCCTCATCCGAGCACATGCGCGTGCAAAAATGCCCAGCCGTGCAAAAGCATCAACCCCGCCTCCCCACCAGGCCCGTTGTGCGTGCCGTTCCCCATCTGACAGCCGTGTCCCCAAGCTAAGCAGGGCCTCCACTCACCCTCCTTGTGAACTGGGGAGCCCTGGTGCAGCGCCCCAGCCCACGACCATCGCTGCTGCCGGATTTCAGCCCAGGTTTTCTTCACTGAGCGCTGGATGGCAGCTTCGTAGAGCTCCTGATCACAAAGGGGGAAAAGGGGGGAAGGTTAGTTCTCCATTTTTGTTCGCCAGTCGTGCAGCGCCGGGATGCGCTTGCAGAAACAACGAAGCTGAGCGGTTTGGTCAGGAAAAAACAACGATAAAAAGACTTTTTTTTTAAAAAAAGAACAGAAATCCTTAAAGATAGCTCTTGACTTACAACCAAAATTAGGACTAGAACTTTGGTCACTAAACAGGGCGCTTGTTTTAGTGAGTCCTGCCCGATTTTTACAATATTTTTTGCTATAACTTGTTAAGCAAATGCAACTTCCCCCTTGACTTTCCTTATTGGAAACCGGCTGGGAAAGGGAGAAATGGCGATCCCATGAGCCCCAAGATGCGGCAACCGTCATAAACAGCTGGCATTCCACCAGCTATTCCAGAGAAGGAAATCCTCTTTTGTTATTGGGAACCAGCCATTGCCACTTCCTTATTGATTCTGCCCGAGCCACCATCCCAAAGAACACAAGGTGCTTAACCCTCGGATGAGAGACCACAAGGAGTTCCGTGGGTGAAACTGGGACCATTTAAAAGAGGTTCCCTTCAATTAAATGCTGCCTTCTTGCAGGACAGAACAAAGAGTCTGGATTTTGATCACGTGACCCTAGGGATGCTGCAAGAGTTGTTGCGTGTGAGGACCAGTTTTTAGGCACTTTTTTTCCCAGCTCTGTCATAACTTCAAACAGTCACTAAAGGAACAGTTGTAAGTCAAGGACTGCCTGCCTAAATGACTTTCGACTGAAAAAAGAACAAGTGAACTTATTGTGGCATTTGGATATTAAAAATGAGATTAAGGCAGGGGTAGGCAACCTTGGCACTTTTATGACTCGTGGACTTCAACTCCCAGAATTCCTCAGCCAGCATGGCTCAGCTTGGAAACCTCTCCTTTTCCCCTCAGCATGGCTGTCTCAGGAATTCTGGGAGTTGAAGTCCACGAGTCATAAAAGAGCCAAGGTTGCCTACCTCTGGACTAAGGGGTCGGAGCAAAGTTTAACGTGCCCGTTCCTCAGTAAAAATGACAAAAGGTGCAATTGTGTGGGTGGGTTTTTCCCTCCAATTTCTTTCTTGTTTCTCCATCTCTTATTTTCTTCGCTCTTGCTTGTTTTGTGCAGTCCTTGATTTACAACCATTCGTTGAGTGACTGTTTACAGATACAACAGCACGGGGAAAAAGTAACGTATGGCTTTTTCACTTTTCATACGTTTTTCGTACGTATAACCCTTGCGGCATCCCCACGATCACATGACCAAATCATGTGATCCCTCAATGTGACCTGGCGACAAGCAAAGTCAAGGGGGAAAGCCTTACAACCCTGTTTACAGATAGTCCTCAGTTTACAACCACAACCGGCCCCCAAATTTCTGTTGTTAAGCGAGACCTTTGCTAAGTGAGTTTTGCCCCACTTTACAACTGCAGCTGTTAAGTTACTAACACGGTTGTTTAGTGAATCTGGCTTCCCCATGGACTTTGCTCGTCAGAAGGTCACAAAAGGGGGTCACACGACCCCGGGGCACCGCAACCGTCATAAGTACGAGTCAGTGGCCAAGCGTCTGAATTTCAGTCATGTGACCCTGGGGATGCTGCAAAGGTCCGAATTGTGAAAAACGGCCATCAGGCACATTTTTCAGTGCCGTTGTAACTTGAAACAGTCACTAAACGAACCGTGGTAAGTTGAGGACTACCTGTAGTAACAACTGCAGCGACTCATTTAACAGCTGTGGCAAGGAAAGTCCTAAAACGGGGCAAAACCCATTTAACAACTTGGCCACAGAAATGTTGGACTTAGTTTTTGTCGTAAATCAAGGACCACCTGTATTTCCTCCCTTGAAACGTTTCTCATAAAACCGGGAAAGACATCGTGGAGGGAACAAGACACCTTTGCTCCTGGTCCCTTTTGGGACAACGTAGCCGTGGAGTAAGCCAACGTTGGTGACCCACAGCTTGCCTGGCTGTTTAATTCCTCTTTGACCCCCCCCCCCAGAACTTCTCCAACTGACCTTGTTCCTCTCCACCTTTTGGCGCTGGCGTTCTTCCAGGGCGGCTCGCCGCTTCTCGGCTCGCACTCGCTGCTCCTCCAGCCGCCTCCGTCTCTCTTCCAGCTGTTTTTCCCTCAACATGCGGGCCTTCTCTTCCTTCTCCAACCACACTGCCCGTTTGGCAGCTGTTCAAGGGTGTGCCAAGAGAGAAAAAGAAAGAGCGAGAGGTTTAGATACAGGCAATGCCTCCTGCCCTGGACACCTCCAGACTCACTCCTGGAGCATCTTAACTTATGGTGAAATGTGGGGCTTTTTCATTTTTTTAAGGGCCAGCTGGATGAAGCCCACCCTGCAAGAGCTGTAAAAGGCATCTCAGCCAGCTTTAGCACTGATGATGTTACCTACTTGGGTAATGAAACGTCTGCAGGAAAACAACGAGGCACAGAGAGCACCAAGGATCCCACACCTTTAATTTACAGCACTCTTTCTTAGTCTTTTTTTTTCTTTCTTTCAGGAGCCTGTCCATTTTCAACATTACGTGTTTGTTTAGAGGGATTGGGTTGATCAGTATTTATTTTATTAAAAATTAAAATTGATGCGCGTGCTGATTTTGAGGACCCCGAAAGAGTCTAGAGGGAGGGAGAGAGGGAGGGAAGGAAGGAAGGAAAGAGAAATAAGAGGGAGGAAAGAAAGAAAAAAGAAAGAGGGAGGGAAGGAAGGAAGGAAGGAAAAGAAGGAAGAAAAGAGAAAGGGAGGGAAGGAGGGAAGGAAGGAGAAAGAAGAGGGAGGAAAGAAAGAAAAAAGAAAGGGAAGGAAGGAAGGAAAAGAAGGAAGAAAAGAAAGGGAGGGAAAGAAGGAAGGAGAAAGAAGAGGGAGGAAAGAAAGAAAAAAGAAAGAGGGAAGGAAGGAAGGAAGGAAAAGGAAGAAAAGAGGGAGGGAAGAGAGGAGAAAGAAGAGGGAGGAAAGAAAAGAAAGGGAAGGAAGGAAGGAAGGAAGGAGGAAAAGAAGGAAGAAAAGAGAAAGAAAGAAAGAAAGAAAGAAAGAAAGAAAGAAAGAAAGAAAGAAAGAAAGAAAGAAAGAAAGAAAGAAAGAAAGAAAGAGGCAAGGAGGGAGGAATAAGTGAGGAGAGAGGGAGGGGGTGGAAATCAATGGAGCAAGTGTTGCAGCAGCTTCATCCCCAACTTCAGGAGTGACCTGCACAGCTGGCAACAGCTGCTGAGGCAGAAGCAAGAGCAGAGGGAGGTGAGATGCCGCAAAGGCTGAACACAAAAGAAATGGGAAGCTAAACTGAAAAGCACATTCAGGCCAGACAATTGGGGAAGGAGAGTGGAAAGAGGGGCAGAGGGTGAACTGCCACTGCTGCGAGGGAAGAGCGGGGAGGCTGGAGGCTGGAGGGGGCTGCTGGAGCAGAAAAGACCACCCTGCCCAATACAAGGCCACAGACCCGCAACAGTTGGAGAAAAGGAGCCTCCTTAGCCGAGAAGTGACCTGCAGAAGGGATCTTCCCAGACCCACAGAGCAACAGAGAGGGCCATGCGCGTCCGGCCCCTCCGTAATGTCCTTTTTAGCCTGACAGAAGGGTAAGCCGTCCCGTGAAGAATTAATCACATTTCAACCAGGTTGAATTTCAATTTCCTGAGCTCCCATTCTCTCCCATTCTTTGTCCCATTCCCTTTTGGAATGCACTCTGGGGGGGTGGGGGGGAGAGAGACACAGGCTTGCTAGACAGTTGAGGGTTCCCCAGCATTGGGCTAATGATGGGAATCATAGTCCAATATACTTAGAAGACATTGGGAAGGAAGGAAGGAAGGAAGGAAGGAAGGAAGGAAGGAAGGAAGGAAGGAAGGAAATGTGAAAGAGAATCAAAAGGGAAGGAAGGAAAAGTGAAAGGCAGCTAATGATGGGAATTGTAGTCCAATATACTTAGAAGACATTGGGAAGGAAGGAAGGAAGGAAGGAAGGAAGGAAGGAAGGAAGGAAGGAAGGAAGGAAGGAAATGTGAAAGAGAATCAAAAGGGAAGGAAGGAAAAGTGAAAGGCAGCTAATGATGGGAATTGTAGTCCAATATACTTAGAAGACATTGGGAAGGAAGGAAGGAAGGAAGGAAGGAAAATATGAAAGAGAATCAAAAGGGGAGGAAAAGTGAAAGGTAGCTAATGATGGGAATTGTAGTCCAATATATCTATAAGATATTGGAAATGGATGGAAAGAAGGAAATATGAAAGAGAGAATCAAAAGGGAAGGAATGAAAAGTGAAAGACAGCTAATGATGGGAATTGTAATCCAATATATCTATAAGACAGGGGTCTCCAACCCCCGGTCTGTGGACCAGTACTGGGCTGCAGCATGCCAGCAACCGATCCGTACAAACAAGCAAAGCCCCGTCTGCGGGATGCAGGCAGCACACAAAACCACGCACCCTCTGGTCCGCGGAAAAACCTCTCTCCACGTAACCGGTCCCTGGTGCCCAAAAAATTCACCAAGCATGAACATGGCACCTGAATTGATTCCAAGGGCCTCTCTCAAGAATAACGGATCCCACTTAGGCTAGATTTATACAAGACTGCCAACTTTGAACAAAAATGGATGTTCTCGCTTTAAACTGAAAATATACAAGATTTCCCCTGATTTCTGTGGATGCTGAAAGGTTCCAAAGTTTTTGATATGGATCTCCGGGGGGAGTGTGTGTGTGTGTGTGTGTGTGTGAGAGAGAGAGAGAGAGAGAGAGAGAGAGAGAGAGAGAGGGAGAGGGAGGGAGGGAGGGAGGGAGGGAGAAATTTATTTGGGCTTCTCTAAGAATTTTGTTTTGGATTGATCTGAATTATCCAACTCCTAAATCAGGGGTGATTATTTATAGTGTACCCTCTCCTTGGGCCAATTTACGTTGCCAAGTGTGTCCTTTTTCTCATTCTCTGTTTAATTCAGAACCCCTTGCCTGACTGATTAGAAATTCAGAATATATCCCATAGAGCAGGAAGGGAAAGAGCATAAGATTTTATTACACACTGGTTTTGTTTTGTAGCTGGTTCAGCAATCAATATTCCTATTTATTAATACATGAATTGGGAATGGATATTGGACGCGAAATTTACCTGGATACCGAGCAAATTGGATTATCCTATCTATCATATTGATTGAATGGAATTTACAAGGTTTTTGAACCAATTTTGTCAGCAAGGGTATCTTGCAAGCTTGCAGGTTTCTAAAGCGCAATTATCTGTTCACAAAGATGAGTTTACTTTTCCATCATTTGAGATTTATTGCTAGGCAGTCTCTCAGTAACTGTTTAACTTGAAAGGTATTATTTGGCCCCAGTGCAATCTTGGGTGGTTTTGAGAGATGTTATTTATGCAGGGATCTATTTCAAGACCCGTTTTTAATGCTTCAAAAATATATAGAAAATATTGGATCACAGATAACCGAATATGTCTCAACCTTAGCGACTTTTAAGCTGTCTGGACTCCCAGAAGCCCAGGCATCTTACGGTTGAGACAAACTGATTTGATCCATGAAAAACATACACTGGGGAGTTTAAAAATAGTGTCTAAATCTGAGTATAAACTAAGCATCTCTTAACAACCAATTCTGAGGAATCCAATTTCTGAATTTTTGCAGCATTAAAATTGAATATGATTTACTTCAGAGTATATTCAATTTAAGGATGTATCATCTAGTTTATCTGGGCCAGCTGCTTCTGAACCTGCCTGTCCAGGAACCCTTCTGTATAAGACAGGGGTCTTCAAACTGGGCCCTTTTATGACTTGTGGACTTCAACTCCCAGAATTCCTCAGCCAGGCGTGCCTGGCTGAGGAATTCTGGGAGTTGAAGTCCACAAATCATAAAAGGGCCCAATTTGAAGGCCCCTGATGTAGAAGAAAGCTGATGGGATTGGTATTATATTTTACTTGATTTTATATGTTAAAGAGTTTGATGTAATGGGTTTTTGGGAGCTCTATCCCCATTTTTTCTTTTGGAATCTATCAAAACATCGTGAATGATGGAGTGAGGGGGATGAGAACTAACTAAATTCTTCTACAATTCTGACAGGAAAATGTTACACTTGATTGGCAGCAATGGGTTGTTGTTATGTTTAATTGTCAACAATACTAGAATTCATCTTTCTTTCTTTCTTTTTTTTTAGAAAGGGGAAAGGAAGAAAACAATCAAGTAAGTGATAAGTTTAAATTTGGGGATTCACAGGGAAATAAAGGTCCCCAAATCCTTTTCCTCACTTAACATATTCTGTATAAATTCAGTCATTTGGAGGTGCTTTCTCACATTCATTCTCCTGTCGGGGGAAGAATGAAAGGACATTTTGTTCACAATCACAAACACTAAGTTTGGCCAAGAATACAACAAAAAGAAAAACATGTTAGTCTTGATTTCCCCCCCCCCCGGTACAATTGGGCTTAGTCTTGAAGGGAACAAGGGCAGAATTTCCTGAATCTGGAGTCTCCTTAATTGTCATTGGATGACAATTCCCATCATCCCCATCCTCTGTGTAGAGGGCCAGGCAAGAAAGGAACCTAGTCAGATCACCTAGAGAACACCAGGTTGAAAAAGAAAGTGAAATAACTAGACCAGGGGTAGGCAACCTTGACTCTTTTATGACTCGTGGACTTCAACTCCCAGAATTCCTGAGCCAGCACAGCTGGCTCAGGAATTCTGGGAGTTGAAGTCCACGAGTCATAAAAGAGCCAAGGTTGCCTACCCCTGAACTAGACCATAAATCAGGAGTTGAAGGCCTGACATGGCTCAATGAGATGACTCCAAAAGTCATCTAAATGCATTGGATGGCAGATCCCATCATCCCCATCCTCTGCGTGGAGGGCTGAGCAAGATAGGAACCTGGTCAAATCACCTAGAAAACACCAGGTTGAAAAACAAAAGGTGAAATAACCAGACTGTCAATCTGAATTTGAAAGCCTGACATGGCTCAATGAGATGACCCCCCACCACCACAAAGCCTGTGGTACAGATGTTAGATGGCCTCTTCCTTACCCAGATGTTTGGCTCGTTCTTCACGACGCTCCCGAGCCATCCTGTGTCTTGCCTGGGCCTTTTGAGAATCTGGATGAAAGAGAATCCAAAGGCATCAGAACAATGAAGGGAAAGTCGGATGGATTGCGAAGACGATGAACTTATAGTTAGGGCTAAATTAACTTCTTTGCTTCTAAAGGAAACAGCACAGGTCGTCCTTGACTTACGACGACAACCGAGCCCAAAATTTATGTTGCTAAGCAAGGCAGCTGTTAAGCGGGTTTTGCCCCTTCATTGCCCCAAATTCTTAAGTGAATCCCTGCAGTTGTTAAATTAGTAACAGGGTTGTTAATTGAATCTGCTCCCCCATTGATTTTGCTTGTCAAGGGGGAATCACATGACTCCCCAGGACTCTGCAACCGTCATAAAGATGAGTCGGTTGCCAGGTGTGGCCAGGCGGAATGCTGCAGCGTTTGTGTGACAAATGGTCACCAGTCACTTTTTGCAGTGCCCTTGTAACTTTGACCGGTCACTAAACCAAGCATGGTAAGTCAAGGACTATCTGTATGGATATTTATGGCTGATTGGACCTACAGACCTTTGGCACAAAATGGAAAGAAAATGCTATGATTTGTGGGCAACAGCATCCCAGGCACCCACTAGATCAGTGATGGCGAACCTTTTAGAGACTGAGTGTCCAAAACCCGCCCCCTGCCCCCGCTCCGCCTCCTGTCCTACCTGCTCCACCCCCTGCCCCGCCCACCCACAGGGCCACGCACCGCCTCCATGGCCCGCCGTAGCAGATTGCCCAGGTAGCCCTGCAGCGCCCAGGCAGCCACGCCCACCGCCCACACCCCGCAGCATCATCTGCACCTATGGAGCGCAAGGGCAGAGTCTTGTCCCTGCTACCTGGCTATGTCCTTGACTGCGCTGCTCCGTGCAGACTGCGCCCGGGGGCGACTCTCCTCCAGGGGGGCTGCTGGTGAGGAGGGGGAGGTGGGGCTGGGACGGCAGTGCGCGTGCCCACAGAGAGGGCTCCAAGTCCCGCCTCTGGCATGCGTGCCACAGGTTCGCCACCACTGCCCTAGATCCCCTCTGTAAGTTGGTTCCACCTACAAAAACACCTACCTTGTTTTGTCCTGGCAGTGCCTGAACCTTGGACAGGGGGAGGCTGCTCGCTCTTGGGGGGCAGGCGGGTACTGCCACGCGTCTCCTCTGTTTGAGGCGGACTCGGGGCTCCGATGGGTGGGGGGCGATCACTCTTAGGAGGCAAGGTCTCTGCTTCTGGAAGTGGGGCAGCAGGCAGGGGGCTGGGCTGGCGAGTCCGGAGGGCAGAACGTGCTTCCGAGACAGGTGTGGTGGGGGTCTTGGCACCAGCAAGTTCATTTGGGGCTGGCAGTGTCGTGGCTGCAGCTGGCAGAGACGGGACCGCTGGATGGAGGGCTGGGGGGGTCTGGAGGCCGGACTGAGCCTCTGCCTTCCCCCCCAAGGGCGCCGTCTGTTCATTGCGAGGCGCTGGCATCACTTCTGACGGGGTCCAGGCTGAAAGACAGACATTGGCTGGCTCAAATCTCACTCAGCTGCTGATACGATCAAAAGTTACAAGCGCTGTTTTAGAAGGAAACAACAAGCAAAGGGTTTTCCCTGGATGAAAGACCCCGAGGAAAGCCTCATGCTGTGGATTAGACTAGAACAGTGTGTTTCAACTTGGCAACTTTAAGATGGGTGGATTACAACATCCAGAATTTTCCCGCTTGCTATTTTTCGGTTTTTGGTTTTTCTAGTTTCTGTTTTCCCCCCTCTAGTAATTTCTTAGGATTGATTCATTTTGTTCCCCTGTTCCACGAGGGCTTCCTGAACTGCGAATGATCCCAACTTCCCCAGAAGCTCCCCCCATTTCTTTCCTTCCAAGGCACCCCCAGAATACCTAGATTGAGCAAAGAGAGCATAGCTGACTAGAGAATTCTGGGAGTTGAAGTCCACCCATCTTAAAGCTGCCAAAGTTGGGAAACAATGGACCGGGAAGTCAAAAAACAGCCCCCAAAGAGGAAGGGCTAAACCATTTCCTCAACACTATGAAGAAAGCCTCATGAACAGCCTTTACTGTGGATACCCGAGACCACCAATCAAACATTGCCCAAGCTGCCCATAAAAGCCTCCATTTGCCCCCAGGCCCCAGAAGCATGGCATAATCAAACCAAGCTGCCAAAGATCACCCCCCCCCCCATGGCTTGGATGCAGGTGCCATCTTTAGGGGCAAAGCCATCCAAACTTTGAACTGGTCTGTCAAACATCATCTGATCTAAGACAGGTGTGAGTTTTCTAGTTTCTATTTTTCCGCTCTAGTCGTTTCGTAGGACCGATTCATCTCGTTCCCCATTGCACAAAGGCTTCCTGAGCTGTTAGTGACCCCCAACTCTCCCAGAAAGCCCCCCCCCATTCCTTTCCTTTCAAGGCACACCCAAAACCCATAGATTAAGGAGAGAGAGAGAGAGATGGAATCACTAGTTTTGCTGATACCCACATCCGTAATTCTTCACTATCCTTGATTCCCGTAGACATGCTTGCACAAACACACAGACAGACACGCAAGCACATCACTCCCTCACAGCAGCAGCAGCAGAGCCTTTTCAGACAACAATGAAGTAATGCATGAAGAATGTCCAGCAGAGATGCAGAGAAGCCCAGAGAACAAGGCTGCAAATGTTGGTTCTGCCAAGGGAGGGAGGGCGTTGAGCTTCTACGGAAGGAAGGCAGACCAGAGAGAGTCAGAGCCAGCCAGCCGGGCGTGGGGGAGAGGAGAGAGCCGGATCAGACAGCAGAGCAACCGTGGGAAAAATCTCCTGGGCGGGCTGGCTGGCCTCAAAAAACCAGGCCTGCTTTTTCTACACTGACCACCCACCCTTTACCTCTTGATTTCAGACAACTGCCCTTTGCGCTGGTGTAAATTTTCAAAAACTTTTGCCCTTTATTTCGATCATTTCATTTTTACAGTACTCATGGCACCACTTTCCGCACAGTCTTTTCCACGTGAAAAAGATGGAAATGGGTCTGTCTTTTTAGAATGCATTGACATGAATTACTGTTTGGGTTTGGATATTTTTATTAGGAGTTTTTGTCAAACTTTAGCTATCTCCTCTCTCTCTCTTTATCTCTCTTCTATCTATCATCTGTCTGTCTGTCTAATTTATATAGAGCTGCCCGTCTCACAAGGAAGTGACTTTGGGCGGCATAAAACCGAAACAATAAAGTTTTACTTGGCCTTGCTCTTGAATTTTCTTTTGTAAAGCAGTTATAAACATAAACAATTAAAATGTTTTATCCTTCTGGACTGCTTTTGGGTTTGCCCCTTTTTAAGTGTGAGGACCGGTTTTTAGGCACTTTTTTTTCAGCTCTGTCGTAACTTCAAACAGTCACTAAAGGAACAGTTGTAAGTCAAGGACTGTCTGCATAAATGACTTTCTGCTGAAAAAAGAACAAGTGAACTTATTGTGGCATTTGGATATTAAAAATGAGACTAAGGCAGGGGTAGGCAACCTTGGCTCTTTTATGACTCGTGGACTTCAACTCCCAGAATTCCTCAGCCAGCATGAGGGAACTATGACCCCTTCATGACTTGTGGACTTCAACTCCCAGAATTCCTCAGCCAACATGGGTCAGCTTGGAAACCTCTCCAAGGACATCAACAGGAAGAGGGTCAAAAATGAATTCAACAGGGATACCTGTTGGTTGAAGTGACTGATGCTTTACTGGAAACTGGGTTTGATCAAACCTCATAACAGCACCTGTTCGAGAGGGGAAAGGTGGTGGTTTAATTTGGGGGGGCCTGGAAGGCAAATGCAGGCGTTCCTTGACTTACAACCCCAATTGAGCCCAAACATTTCCACTGAGAAGTAAGGCGCTTGTTTAAGTGCGTTGCATCCCATTTTGCTACTTTTTGTGCCACCGTTGGTAAATGAATCGTTGTGGATGTAATAATAATAATAATAATAATAATAATAATAATAATAATAAAGTTGGAAGGGACCTTGGAGGTCATCAAGTCCAACCCCCTGCTCAGGCAGGAAATCCTATACCATTTCGGACAAATGGCTATCCAGTCTCTTCTTAAAAACTTCCAGTGTTGGAGCATTCACCACTTCTGGATGCAGGCTGTTCCACTGGTTAATTGTTCTAACTGTCAGGAAGTTTCTCCTTAGTTCTAGGTTGCTTCTCTCCTTGATTAGTTTCCACCCGTTGCTTCTTGTCCTGCCTTCAGGCGCTTTGGAGAAGAGCTTGACTCCCTCTTCTTTATGGCAACCCCTGAGATATTGGAATGCTGCTATCATGTCCCCCCTCGTCCTTCTCTTCATTAAACTAGACATACCCAATTCCAGCAACCGTTCCTTATATGTTTTAGGTTAAGTGAACCATGTGGTTGTTAAGGGAATCCCAAACCCGGGTCAGTGCGACTGTCATAAATACGTGCCAGTTGCCAAGTGCCGAATCTTGATCACGTGAGCATGGGGATGCTGCAACAGCTATAAGTGTGAAAAACAGTCATAAAGTACTAACGGTACTTTCAGTGCTATTGTAGCTTTGAACGGCCACTAAACAAATGACTGTAAGTCAGGGACTAGCTGTATTGACTGGAAAACCCTGGGAGAGGTACTTGTTTAAACTACGGTTAAAATGATAAATTACATCCAATCTAAGAGCTTCTGGAAGAAGACATAGAAATTATAATAGGGAACAATTTGTCTCTAGCAATTGCTATTTCAGCTAGGTGGAAAAGCCTTTTGGGACAAAATATCCCTGTTCCTTTAATGCAAGAATCAATCCCCATCAACCCTCGAGTAGATAATAATTTTGATAAATTTTATGGCATTCCTCCAGCTATTCCAGATGGCACTGGAGAAGGAAATCCTCTTTTGTTATTAGGAACCAGCCACTGGCACTCCGTTATTGATTCTGCCCAAGCCACCATATCAAAGACCACAACGTGTTTAACCCTCGGATGAGAGACCACAAGGAATTCCTTGTACTTCTTCTGCTGCCTTCTTGCAGGACAGAGCAAATATGCTTTCTCTATCCTGGTCCCCACCAGTGTTTTCCAATCTTGGCAACTTTAAGATGTATGGGCCTCAAACCCCAGAATTCTCCAGCCAATATGCTGGCTGAAGATTTCTGGAAGTTGAAGTTCACACATCTTAAAGTTGCCAACATTGAGACATACTCATCGCCACCTTCTGGATCAGCATTTCCAGTTTCAGATGGTGCCCCTTCCCCTGGTGTCCCAGGAAGCCTTTAAGACTTGGCTCTGTTCACAGGACCGGAGTTAATGTGGGTGTGAAGTCAGGCCCCTGTTGCATTGTTACTTGGCACTATTTGTACTGCTTGTTATTTCAGTCCAAGCTCCCTGTTTATTTGGATTTCAATTGTTTCATTCTTTTTTTATGGATTCTGCAAGCAATGCAGAGTCTACTGGAGTGGGAGACCATATTCAATTGAATAAATATGTTAAATATTAAATTAATCCATTTTTCAAGGGTCCAGAAAAGGATCGATGCAAGATAATAAAGTCATAAGAATTAACATGTCCAAGTTCAGTTTGGTAGATGCCAGATTTTGAAGAATCTAGTTCTTGTTAAGTTAGTTGGCCCCCAACAATAGAGGGACACGGAGAACTAGCAAGAGCCGTGAAGGAAATGTGCCCCCATCAACAAAGATCTGAACCATTTTAGACTGTATGTTCCCCTGTGTATTCCACTCAAATACTGCCTGCTTTTCAACAAATCCTCTGTTTTTATTTTAGGCTTCATCAATAATCAGGACATTTGCGAAATTCTGGGAGCTGAAGTTTTTACACATTGGATGGAGAATTGGATGGAGAGTTCCCAGGTTGCTGGAGATTGATCTAAGTTGGAAAACACATTGTGATAATATGGAATTCGTCAAGGGAAGTGCTCCCCCCCCAGCTATGCCTGGAAGATTATTGGAAGCTACATGAGACCTTCAAAGGTTTTTAAAGTTCTTCCTTCAACAACCGTACCCAACCATAGCCATTTGGGAGTTGCAAGGCCAACTAAAATGACCACAATTTAACACCTCCTAATATGTGCATTTCAACTCCCAAATTTCTCAGCAATGCCATGATAGCTGGAAACTTTGGGGACATCTTCCATTTATGGAAGGCACCTGGAATGGAATGGAATAGAATAGAGAAATGTAGAATAGAATAGAATAGAATAGAATAGAATAGAATAGAATAGAATAGAATAGAATAGAATAGAATAGAATAGAATAGAATAGAATAGAGAAATGAAGAACAGAATAGAATAGAGAAATGAATAGAATAGAATAGACTATAGACTACACTATAGAACAGAACAGAACAGAACAGAACAGAACAGAACAGAACAGAACAGAATAGAATAGAATAGAATAGAATAGAATAGAATATATGGCCAAGTGTGATTAAACACACAAGGAATTCATCTCCGGTGTGTAAGCTCTCAGTGTACATACAAACAAGACAATAATATAATCACAAGATATCAACAGGAGAAGGTAGTAGTAAAGATGAGAAGGGTAGTAGTAATACAGCCCTACTACATGGGTAAATATCCTTAGACATTCTGTGGGAATTAGGTGTTAGCAGAGGGAAGGCAGGAGGGAAAAATCTGCCTCTGTGTCTAGTTGTTTCGGCATGCGATTCCCTGTAGATGTATTTGGCCAAGTGTGATTAGGCACACACACAAAAAACCTTGTCCCTGTGTCTAACGCCATACAGAGGAAAGCAGCTGAAACAGTTTATGTCCAGGATGCGAGAGGTCTGCAAATATCTTCTCAGCCCTCCTTCTGGCCCACGCAATAGACAGGTCTTCTATGGAAGGCAGGCTGGTTGCAATTATTCTTTCTGCAGTGTTAGCTACCCATTGTCCTGTTTGGTTGCTGTACCAAAACAGGTAGTTATAGAAGTACAAGTGACAAATTTGCTATGCCTGACAGCAATGCAGCTGAAATCTCAGACACCAAAGAATCTTTCTCATTAGCTTCTACTGAATGCTTTCAACTAGACATGCTGGAGACTCAACTCAAGAGTTAGTGCTCGCAAAGTGTGCTCCTCCACACTGCCCTTCAGAGAACAGACACATAACCAATATACACCAGTCCATCAATCACCTGACAGCTCCCTTTATCCCAATCCTATCGCTTTAAACCTTGAGCCGGTCTTGGCACTGTGTAATTAGGGAGTACAAGCTGCTTAGTCAACAGTATCGCCCTTCTGGATAATGATGGATGAGCTCCATCCAGTGCAGGAGACAAAAGAAACTCAGCAGACAGAGCAAAGAGAAAAAAAGAGGTGTGAAGGGACATTGGAGGGGAGAGCAGAGTGACAGCCAGACCAGGGACGGCGGTTGGCAAGGAGACCTGGAACCAATCGTTCCCCCAAGCTTTTGAAAAGTAGATATGAATTCCTATTCCTAAGTGTAATTCTTATTCCACTACCAGATCCAGAAAGGTGACAAGAGAATTAAGCTGAACTTGCTCATGCACCATTATTAAATGGTGGACATCAA